AGCGGGGCTGGATATGAGCTGTTTGTAATTCAGTTTTTTTTTCGATGGCGACCCAGTGGGTGTATTAGTGGAGATTTCGACTTTAATACCATCTTGCCAGTAGACAAGGGCCCTAGAATTTGCTGACTAGTTGATCGCTGAATTTTGCGTAAAATCAAGCAAATGTTGCAACATTTTGTGGACTCCTGAATTTTTTGAACTCCTGGAAGAGTCATTCATTCATTCATTCATTTTCCTTAGGCTTAATCTTTGTGTTTCAGAGGTCTCCACAGCGGAATAAACCGTCAACAATTCCAGCATATGTTTTACGCAGCGGATGCCCTTCCAGTAGCAACCCAGTACTGAGAAACACCCATACACTCTCACATTTATACACTCATACACTATGGCCAGTTTAGTTCTGATTCATGATTTATGTTTCACATTTCAAAACATGGTGACGCAGTGGCGCAGTAGGTATTGCTGTCACCTCACAGCAAGAAGGTCACTGGGTCGCAGGTTCGAGCCTTGGCTGGGTCAGTTGGCGTTTCTGTGTGTAGCTAAATTGTCCGTAGTGTATGAGTGTGTGCGAATGTTTCCCAGAGATGGGTTGCGGCTGGAAGGGCATCCGCTGTGTGGAAATGAGCTGGATGAGTTGGCGGTTCATTCCGCTGTAGCGGCCCAGAATTTGTAAAGGGACTAAGTCGACAAGAAAATTAATGAATGAATGAATGAATTTCAAAACATCTGTTAAGAAAACAAAGTAAGCATCTGTGATTTTCATGATGCATTATGGGTCTTTTCATGGAGGGATGTATTTGATGTTTCAGTGCACTGGCCGACTTCCTCACTACTGAACAAAGGAGTTGATTGAGATGCACCATTATTAAATAATGTAAGCTTAACAAAATCATCTGCTGAAGCCTATTGCAAATTTAGATTTTCATAGATACATATAAATAATGTCGCAGATGCATTATACTGTTAGTGATTACTAACTGCAATAATGACTGTTCAATTATTGCAGATGGCTTATGTATAGCTGCTGATCAGGCATCTATGTATATGATTTTATTCACCCAATGCAAGTGAGTAACGCAACAAATCAAGGTATGGGCCGAATAAGAGATTTATTATGGTTTGTTAATTACTGACTGCTTGCACATACAGTCATTGAGCTCATGTTGTGCGCAGACACATGAAACTATGTAAACGAGCATTGACAGCCTAATACATTACGACAGGATGGAAGTATTCTAGTGTTGTCATGTTGCCCGCTTTCTGTGTATCATTTATTTTCAATATGAATAACACTTTTGTTTTCATGCTGTTATGTAAGCCAAAGTGGATTTGGTCGTTTAGTAAGTCTTTTGATTTACTGATGGATGATATAGTCATTCAGGAACAGTTTATGTTGGATGTGTAACTTGCTTAAAGTAAAGGGTCTCCAGTTTCACTGTGCAAAAAACTTTTATTCCACATAATGCCTTAAAAATTTTTATATAATTTTGTTAATATTTAAGGTCTGTTTCAGACCAGAAGAATCACTGTTCACTAGTGAATCAGTAATTTTGTCACAGTCACCAACAATTTAGGCTTAACAGATTCCTGAAAAGAATGCACCTGGACTACAATTCTTCCACCGAAATGAACTACAAATCCCATCATTCCCTGCACTCTCACACTTAGCCCAGATCCCCCTTGACTGCAAACACACAGCTGAAGCTTGTAAAGACATTCATGGACTATAAATTAGGGATGTCCCGATCTTATATTGACAGCGGAAATAGGTCCAATATCAGTCTAAAAAACTATATCAGACTGCGTTAAAAATCTCCGATATAAGCAGTCCGATTCGCTCTAAACTCCGTTACAGCTATTCTATCCAGCAGCGTCCAGAGCCAGCATGCAAAGCCCACGTGATCATAACACTGCTTGCTAGCAAAGTCTCTTTAAGATTTAACATGCTCTTCACACTAAGGTATGGTGTATTACGATAGAAATCTAACACGCTGAGGCTATTAACACCAGCGCTTCCCACACAGAAGACTTTACCTCAGTGGCCCGGTTCTGTGTGCGTGAGAATACTGCTGCAGACCCACAGAGACGCGCTAGACACCTCTTATGACTTTAGCTTTGAGAAGAGCACGAGGACACGTGGAGAAGAAAAGCCTTTTACTAAATAGATTGATCCAGCTCATTATTTAGGGTGACAATACATCCTCTTTTTCCCAGACATGTCATCTATTTGGGACTTTAAAATGCATTCAGCGAAGATTTCTAAATCGCCTAACATGTCCCGGATTCTGCTTTCGTTTTTTTTAGCAGAGTCTGTCAGTCAGAGTTTAGCAGAGTTTATGCATTACTTTATACGCAAACTTTTTCCGGTGCATCTCAATCTCTCAGCAGCACAAACACTAGAGAGAGAGAGAGAGTGAGGGAGGGAGGGAGGGAGAGAGGAAGGGAGGGAGGAAGAGAGTGAGGGAGGGAGAGAGTAAGGGAGGGAGGAAGAGAGTGAGGGAGGGAGAGAGGGAGCAGATTTGACCTGTCAGTGGTGCACACGGATAGTAGGAGTGAAATAGTATATTTCTTATTTTTTAGTTCATTTTTTTACTTGAACACACTGAAAAGAAACAGTCGTGTAAAAGGTGTTAAATGCTAAACATCTTTGCTGTTTTAATTGTCTGTTAAATAAGAAAAAGAAATCATTCTGTTGCTGAGGGCCATTACAGATTAAAAGAAAGAATGGTATTACTTTCGGGCAGAAGGAAAATTTGATTAGAGGCATTCCCATATTTAACTCTTCTTTAAAAAGCTCAGAAAGATAAAGTGCTCTGATAAACAGTGTCAGCTTTGCACATCAGTTTGCAGTTCTGTCTCTATTTACATTGTCGTACTTTTCCCATGTAAGGCAGTAGGGTGGAATCTGTGCAATATATTATGCAAATACAATTTATTTTGATAAATTAAATTATTTTTAAATGTCACATTATTTTATGTGCTGAGGAGAAAAGGTGTGTTTCAATCCAGCTACTACAAGTATATTTGTTAAAGATAATATGTGCAAATATTTTATTATAAAATTAATAAGGTTTGGGAACATTGATACAGCCATAATCTTCTTATGATACAAACACAGATTAAATAGATCTGATCATGTAAATTTTTGTATTAACCATACTGCACATTTTCATTAGCTTAACAATAATTTATATCTGCTCCCCTGTGTGAAAGATATTTTTCAGCTTAAAACTGGATCAAAAATTCATCAAGAAGCTGTGTGTGAAATTAAAACATTGGACACTCAACCTTTAGCAGTTGTTCAATTAACAATGTTTTATTTTCATATGTTCCTGCTCTCAGCTGTCTCAACTATTTGCTGATGCTGAAAAATAAATAACTGAAGTGACCTTAAATTAGTATTTTACACTTTAAAAAATATATTTTTGTTTATTCAATTAAGATATTTTTCAGGGTCTTAATATTTATTCTTTAATTCTTTTTCATATATTCTTATGTAAAAGGTTCACATTTATGCAACCAATAGTTAATATATTGCTTGTTTTTTTCCATCCTCACTGTTGCTGACTTTTGTTCTCAGTTTTATCAAGCTGTTCATAAATTCCCCTCAACGAAATAGGAAAAAGTTAAGTATTCATGATTTGTGCTAATATCGGATTTATATCGGTATCGGTTCGTACTGAAGGCTGCAATATCGGTATCATATCGGAAGTTATAATGTTGTATCAGGACATCCCTACTATAAATACACCTCACACACACAGACAAGTTGCTGAGTCTTCATTTATTTATACATTTTCTTTTTAGCTTAGTCTCTTTATTAATCAGGGGTTGCCACAGTGGAATGAACCTCCAATTTATCCAGCATATATTTTACGTAGCGGATGCCCTTTCAGCTGCAACCCAATACTGGGAAACACCTTTACACTCTTGCAGACACACACATACACTATGGCCAATTTAGCTTATTTAATTCACCTATATGGCATGACTTTGGACTGTGGGGGAAACCGGAGCACCCGGAGGAAACCCACACGAACATGGGGAGAACATGCAAACTCCACATAGAAATGCCAACTGACCCAGCTGGGGCTCGAACCAGCGACCTTCTTACTGTAAGGCGATCGTGCTACCCATTGCGCCACCATGATGCAGTTGCAGTGTCTTGTTGTTCGGAAAATTTCTAAGCGGTATTCTTGTCTTGTCTTGCCTTGTCGTGTTTTTGACCTGTGTTTTGTTTATCCTGCCTGTTTTTTTGTCACCTGCACCGATCATTTGTCTGCTTTTGACTAGTGTTGGGCAGTGCAAGGCTTCATAAAACACTGAAACAGTTGAAGCAATTGTGTTAAAGCTTTGAAACGTTTCAAAACCATGAATTGCTCTGAAGGCTGCAACAAAGAAACAGTTACACAAATTGAGGAATTTTACCCCACGTTGTAAAGCTTTGAATCGCTTTAGTCAAAGTTTAAACCTGGCTGTTTTGGATCATGCTTCGGATTTATTAATATTAATGATAAATCTTATTGCATTATATCTCTGCATTAAATTTAAGAACATATAATTTATCCCCAACGCAAAGCATGTAATATAATTAAATTCTTTTAAATTTACAACTAAACTGAAATACACTGATTAAATTTATGAAAACTTGATTTATTTCTAATTAAAAATATAAATAAACAATCACTATAAGATTTTCATGCTTATCAGCAAAATTCATTGCTCAAACTGTGTGAGAAATTTTGGGAGAAATGCTAAATAAATTTTACAAATGTTTTCTGAAACTAATATAACTTCATATTTTACAAAAAGCCATTTTCACTTAATAGTACTTTATAAATACTCAAAATAATAAAAAAATTAAATGTGCAAAAATATATATATTTAATGGCTTTCATTTCACAATACGTTCACAAACCCTACTCCTCCTCCCATTTTCAGATTTCAGACTCTTTTTAGGCACCGTTATGACAGGATGTAAAATGATTTTTGTAACCTACTTCATCTCCAGCACCTCCTCCAGGTGTCGTCTCCTCTCGGCCCTCAGTGTGGTCAGATGAGCTTCTTTCTCTGCCAGAGACTGTTGGGTGGACGACATCTTGGCCTTCATGGACTCAAGCTCCAGCTTTACCTTCTCCATCGCTCCGAGCAGCTCTTCCATCTTTTAGGACAAAAAGAGAAGGTATGTCTCTTTCACTTGTTCTGTACATCACAAACTTTACCACTTTTAGGGGTGATTTCACTTTGTGTTGAAGCTGGTAAAATGAAATTGACACATTGACCAATGGAAAACAATGTAAATTTGACTTTTGACAATAGACATTTTGCTCTCAAAATTGTGCATAGTTTACTTTTCTCAAACGTTTTTATGAAAAAAGATTTAACACTAATTCATGAATAAGTCCTAGATTAGGGAAGGGAAAGAGATTTCTTTTTTAGGTTGTATGTAGTGAGTGGAAGGCCAAGAGCCCTCAGAGTGGGTTATGGCTGGTTTATACTTGTGCGTCGAGTGATAGGTGTGACCCACTATGCCTGCCTTGTGCGTTGTTGTGCATTTATATTTCTGAGTACTGTTTATGCTGCACAGCAATAACACTTCTAAAACACTAGCTGGCAGTGAAGTTTTTGTGTTTCTCTGTGTTGAGTTTCTTCGCTGGTGTTTGTTTTTTTCTGAACGCTACGTGCTGTGCAAGTAGCTAAACCTTGCTCATTCTAAGGCAAGAACCTGCAGTCATGCAACAACTTTAATCATAAGGTAAACACAAAACAAGAGGGGTATGTGACCGTGCGAAGACTGCACCAGACCATATGCGTGCACTTGACACATAACTGTGCGTTCACACCGAAGGCGGTGAGAGCGTCTAAGGTCGGTTTGGCTGCCTTGGCGAAAACGCTGTCTGCCTTCAGCTCCGGCGGCGAGAGCATCAGAATTCGCTACATTGATCTCGTATTTAAAAGGGGTCGTTGCAGCATATCAGTTACATTCCTGCATAAAACATTTGCTTTCTAGCGTGAAAATGATGCGCACTTCTAATCAAATTAATTTGAGAATGGAAGATCAAGTTGCATGTGGTATGGCTTTGCTCCACTTAATTACCCAATATGTCCATATGTCTGAAATATCCTGAAGCAGCAATACTGCTTTGCACTGTCGCATGAGATTCCCGCTTTTTAGATAAGTATATATTACATTAAGGCTCATCAGTAACTCGCCAGTAACTTATTTAATGCATATTCCTGTAAGGAAACATTGTAAATAACTGAAAATCAGTCGACTGCAATCAAACCACAATCAAACCTTTGGGAACGTGTGGTCAGAACCAAAGTGCACAGGTTTGTGTTCTCTGAACTCCTTTCAAGCGGAGGACTTCTTCATTCTGATTGCTTGCCGCCGAACCACGTCATAGCTTATTATCATAAAGTTAACTTGATTTAAATTTTCCTTGACGCCCACACCGGCGAAGCCGCCGGCTGTCATTGAAAATGAATGACTTCCGACTACTTTGACGCTCTCGCTTCTTTTGGTGTAAACGTACGGTAAGAATAAATTAGCCTTTAGGGTTAATGAGTGTTATTACATGGCTGGCCAGAATACCTGATTCTGATTGGTCAGTTGCAACATTCCAAGGTATGCTATTCCCAGTTACGGGCTTCTCCGGGTCCTTTAAATCATCTTGACCGTCAGTGAGTATGTTTGACTGTCTCTGCCACAGTTTTTGACTGTTTGGCACCATCTTGTGACTGAACAATATATAGTTGATGCTGAGTTCAGACTGCATGATTTTAGCCCTGATTTCCCTGAATCACAGGCAAATTGGTGTTTGCTCACGTGAGCGACAATCACATAGTATAAACTATCAAGGACGAGATCTGAGAGAATCGCAAATGAGTCGCCGACACCTATGAGATATTCGGCATGCTAATTATCTGGACCTGTCAGCAATTCAAAATCATGCTGTGTGAAATGTGTTCTGATTGAAAATAATATCAGGAATTACCTACAGCCAATGAGAGAGCAGCATCCACAAGTATTGATACCTGCAGGCTAGCGGGAGGTTGGGGGAGAAGTCAAAAGCACTTATTTTCAGTTTATTTGGACCCAAGAAATGGAGGAAAAGGTTTGACATGTCATCTGAGCAATACCACAACCGGGTTAAAAAAAGAAAACAGTTGAGGAGAAATTGCTAATTCTTTTCAAAATCCAGGTGAGCAATATAAGTACATTTTCTACCCCAATAAAGGCTTCTTTCTCATTATGTAGTTAATAACGAAAGATATATTACATGATCTCGCATTGTTTCCATGTCACTTCTCGTGTGTGTTTGGTTGTGAGGACAAAGTTATAGGTGAATCTTCCTATTTTAAAGTCATGCAGTGTGAAACCCCCTGTCGCCGATCCATCTATGTAAACACAGCACAGACGGAACGCTACCCCAGATAGTTATGCAAAGTGAAAACATCCATGACAAGACTATTTTGAAAATCGTGCAGTCTGAGCTCAGCATTAGCGTATGCTTCATCAGCCATTTTCATTTCTTTCAACTTTGCCTTTAACTAAAGAGTTAATAAACTATTACATCTCAGAACAATGAGATGTCTAATTTTTTATTTTTTGGCAGGTTGCCATGTAAAAAAGCAGGATAAAGTGCATCCAGGTTGTTGTTTGCAGAATAAAACCCTTCAGTCTTAAGGGCGAGACACACCAAGCAGAAACCAAAGAATTAGCATAGCTAATAGCAAACAACAAAGCTAATAGCAAACAACAAACAGCATAGCTGAATAACTACTATATTGTTGGCTTTCGTTGGTTGCATCTAGACCAAAAAGCTGCACATGAACACACCAAACAGACGGCAGCAGGCTGAAACGAGAGCACATGTTTTGCACCTGTGTGAGAGAGTGTCTTTCAGCACTCACCGGGGACAGTAGTTTGTTTTCTCATTCCACAAAATGAAACCGACATACAAGCACACATAAAAAAGTTTTCATGAAGCAGGGTTTAGTACCATTACCACAGTACTTGTCACTCACCACAGAGGGGTTCACTTCTGAAAATAATCAAATAATTCATATCGTTTGCAAATATTTTTAAAAATGTAGTGATTTACAGCCGGCTTCTTTGGATCCCCTTTTGACTTTAATTGTGTACTTGGTTACGTCACTTCAATTTATGTTCTCGCGCTCTGATTTATTGCAGAATAACAATTCAGAGCGCTCTATTCAGCCTTAGGAGGGATAATAGTTAATGATCCCAGATGGATGGTGAAATTATGTTATATAGCTGAAGTTGCCAGGAAGACCAGAAGTTCTGTTGTTCATCTATGCTAAGATTTTCTCCAGGCAGATACACAGACATGAGAGCATTTGAATACTTAATCAGTGAATCCCTCATATGTTTATGTAACTTTGTAAGCCTTTACTAAATAGTGTTAAGAGATATTGTTGTGAATCAGTTATATCTGTTGAGCTTGTGAACACAATGACCAATCAGATGTGTTAGGGTGCTTTCACACCTAGACATTTGTTTTTGAACCTGGTCCATTTGCCCCTTAGCTTGGTTTGTTTCGGCTTATGTGAACACCACAATCCCGCTCGAATCTGCAGCAAAACAATTGGTCCGAGACAGCCTGAACGAGGTGGTCTCGGCTCCGTTGAAACAAACTCTGGAGTATTTCAGTTGTAGTGAGAAAGCAATATGATCCAACGAACCCGTCGGTATCACTGTATATTATGGTTATGGAATAGCAATATACAGTTAGGTCCATAAATATTTGGACATCGACACAATTCTAACATTTTTTACTCCATACACCAACACAACGAATCTGTAATTAAATGAACAAGACGTGCTTTAACCGCAGACTGTCAGCTTTAATTTGAGGGTATTTACATCCAAATCAGGTGAACGCTGTAGGAATTACAAAAGCTTGCATATGTGCCTCCTACTTGTTAAGGGTCCAAATCAATTGGACAATTGGCTTCTCAGCTGTTCCATGGCCAGGTGTATATTTTTTTCTCATTATCCCAATTACAATGAGCAGATCAAAGGCAGAGAGTTCATTTCAAGTTTGTTATTTGCATTTGGAATCTTTTACTGTTAACGCTCAAGATGAGATCCAAAGAGCTGTCACTTTCAGTCAAGCAAGCCCTCGTTAGGCTAACAAAACCATCAGAGAAAAAGCAAAAACATTAAGCGTGGCCTGATCAAGAACATACAAAGGTAGGTGTATGTTTGTTAAAGTCAACAATCAAGAGAAGACGACACCAGAGTGAATACAGAGGGTTTACCACAAAATCTAAACCATTGCTCAGCCTCAAAAACAGAAAGGTAAGGTTAGAGTTTTAAAAACCTGCCACGGTACTGTAACAACGTCATATGGACAGATTAGATCAAGATCAACTTGTACCAGAGTGATGGGAAGAGAAGAGTATGGAGAAGGAAGGGAACTACACTGATCCTAAGCAGTTAAGCATGGTGGTAGTGACATGGTGTGGGCATGTATGACTCAATGGAACTGGTTTTCTTGTATTTATTGATGATGTGACTGCTGACAAAAGAAGCAGGATGAGTTCTGAAGTGTTTCAGGCGACATTTTCTGCTCATATTAAGCCAAATACTTTAGAACTCATTGGACAACACTTCACAGTGCAGATGGACAATGACCCAAAGCATACTGCAAAAGCAACCAAAGAGTTTTTGAAGGGAAAGAAGTGCAATGTTATGCAATGGCCAAATTAATCGCCTGATCTGAATCCAACTGATCCAAATGCATTTCACTTGCTGAAGGCAAAATTGAAGGGAAAATGCCCCAAGAACAAGCAGGAACTGACAACAGTTGCTGTAGAGGCCTGGCAGAGCACCACCAGGTATGAAACCCAGCGTCTGGTGATGTCTATGCGTTCCAGACTTCAGGCTTTAATTGACTGCAAAGGATTTGCAACCAAGTCTTAAAGTAAAAGTTTCATTTATGATTATTATTCTGTCCTATTACTTTTGTAAATGTGAAATTTTCACTTTAACTCATGAACATTTAATTCATGCCGCCATGACAAACTGGGGTGTAAGACACAAATGAGTAAGAACTGGTGAGAGAGTTATGGAATTTAATAACGCACGCCAAATGGATAGGAAAAAAACTGCTTTTCGTGATGTGTGTATGTGTGTGTGTGCGTTCCTTTAATGTCAGCTGCGTGTGTGCATCTTGTCGGAAAATATAGTGAAAAGTCTTTCATGACGGTAATAGTTTGATTGTGGTGTTTACTTCAGTAATGACACTAATATATGCAAAATCCACATGTCCTAATTTAATTTTTGTTTAGTTTAGTTATGACTTTAGTCGGAATAAGGTCATCAAAAATCTGTTTCGAGCTTATGTATACCTACAGATCAACATTTATGTTTAACTGAATAAATAGTTAGTAAACACAACTACATCTTATTGAAAATCAAAATCTAAGCTTGTTTTTAATAAAGCAAATATAAATATGCATATAATAAATAATACTGCTACTAATAATAACATTATACAAAAGCAAATTGTTATGAATAAACTGAAAAAAAGCTCCCGAGATGAAGAAGGCATGGAGGCAGTGGTTTTTATATTTATGTAAAAAGTAATAATTTTTTAAATATTTTAACTCTTAAATTATTTTTCATTTGTAAAGATATTATATATATAAATATAATATTTTGTATTTCTGTACATGCTATGTGTATTAAGCAAAGTGTAAGCGAGGCGAACAATTAAAGCGCTCTGCGCTGGACTTTTGACCTGCTTTCACCTGGGGCCTCATGTACGAAGACTTGCGTGGAAATCATACTAAAACATTGCGTATGCACAAAGCTGTAAATGTGCGTACGCAGAAAAAAATTCAGATATATGAAACACTGCGTACGCCAAATCCCACACATATTCTTTGTACATCCGAATGAACGTGAAACTGAGCGCAACATGCACGAGCGCAAAACCCCTCCCTGCCTCCTCCCCCATATGAATATGCTAATGACTATACTTTGGCAAAACCCAACGAAAAAGCAATGGCAAAATCAAGCAAAAAGAGAAACTTTAAACAGAATGTGAATTGGAGGTACTCCGTTCGGAGGTAGACCGGAGAAAAACGATGTTATTTGCAAGTTTGTCCTCCGGAATTAATAACAAAAGAAAAAAATAGAGTGGGGAGAGTTTAGCTGATGCAGTTAACACAGTTAAATCTGAACATCACACTGAGATTAAAAAAAGAAATAGTGAGATGTATAGGTGCAAAATATTGTAGTACATCTAACAGTCTGGGTGGCGCAGCTCGTAAAACGCATGTTAACATGTTTTGACATGTTCGAGCATGAACTCCGTTCGAATCCAGCGTCTGATGAAGTCATTATTTTTCTTTTTCCCCCCGCTACATATCAGATTTTGCCAACTATTTATCACGAGGAAGACAAGTAGGAATCATTAATAAGTCTGTGCATCATATTTTATTTGCACATTTTTTGAATCGATATGTTTCTGATTCATGCATGCAAATTCATCTTCAGATAGTGTCTTTAGAGCAATGTGCGTGCAGGAGATTGCTCCGATTACATTGGGGAAACCGGCGATCGCTACAAATTGCACTTTAATGTTTGGCTGGTCAACTGTATGGTATGGAAATCTTATATACCTGCTCGATGAACCCGTCTCATACAGCTGCCATTGCACGGCTCAAAGACACTTTGTAGAGTGCAATTTAACACAACTGCCTCTAGGAGTCGCCAATGGAAATAAAACAGACACGCACAAAAAATGTGCGTACGCCAGCCATGAAGTTGGCGTGGAGCTGCGCACATTCCCACGTTCAGTTCATCGTTAGTAAATCCAAACGTGAGCGATTCTGAGCATGAAACCTGGCGTACGCAAAGTTTTTGTGCGTACGCAGCGTTGATACATGAGGCCCCAGGTCTATTGTGCAGTCCATTTCAGTTGCTAAAAATAGCAATGCGCCAACAATGCGCCTTAACACACCTCTTTTCTAGACCAAAATACCCGTGAGTCCACAAAGTGGCGCAAATATATTTGCTATTTAAACAGCGTGGTGAATAACTGGAAAATTTAGGTTGCGCTGCTCTGAAAATAGCAACACGTTGTAAAAACAAGTCTTGCGCCCTATTGTGCCAGGGTTATGATAGAGCCTTTTGTCTGCGGTTGTCACCATTCAAAATTAAAGTGCACCTTTTTGCTTATAATGTTATATTTCTCATTATCATAAATTAAAATAAAACATATATCTACTGAATGTAATCTCGAAAAATAAAGCAAATCTGACAAATTTTAGGAGACCTTACTAGCATGTGACTTTTTTTTAATCACTTTGGACCATTTAGAAACGTTGCCATGTGAAAACGAACCACAAAAAGGACAAAAAACAACATTGTTTCAATTTTAATTCCTGTTTCAGAACAAAACAATCGATCTTTAGGTGTGAAAAAACCTATAGAAATACCTAAAAAGCATTCAGAAAACGCTTGTATCATCACACTTGCAAAGTATCAACATCCAAGTTGGTACTTTTGACTATATTAATATTATATCAACCGTTTTAATATTTACCTGTTTCTCCTGGTGGTTGCGAGCGGCCTCCTCCTGTGCCAGTACCATCTCTCTTTCGGCAGTGATCTGAACACTTTCTCTGAGAGCCTCTTCCAGCTCCTCGATACGCTCTGCCTTCTGCCGCAGAGACTCCTGGGATAGACAAGCTCATCATCAGCACACAGTACAGTTTGACAGTGTTAGGAAAAATACAGAGAGCCGTCAAAAGAGACAGAACTGTCATAACCATCTCTCTGTTCACCTCACCTGCTGTGGGCCATCGTTGACATTTCTGCCCTTTCCCGGCGGCTCCTTGTGTTTGCCAGACTTCTTACTCTGCTCTTTCATTTGCCTGAAACATAAACATGATGCTTTTGTGAGAAGAACGCTCTGCATTTTAATGGTGAACTAAAGAGTTTTAGGCCCCATTTACACTAATGCATTTTTGTTTTAAAACACATAAGTTTTGCTACGGTTACGCCAATCGTCCACACTACGCCGGAGTTTTCGAGCGCCGAAAACGGAGCATTTTGGAAACTCTGAAGAGGCCGTTTCCATTCTAAAATGTTGCTGATCCTTCTCAGTGTGGATGAGGGAAAACGGAGACATCTGAAAACAAGGGCGGGGCTGCCGACATTCGCCTCTCTGATTGAGGTTTTCCTTTAATATTAAGAAGCCTACAAACAGTTCAGTCCTGCATCCTCTCCTTGTAAGTTCAGACTTTGCAAGTTTGATATGGAAAACAGACAACCGAGAACATGTCAGGTAAATCTTCAAAAGGAACAGTCTACTTTATAGCCTTATTCACATCATCCTGGCTACGTTGTTTCACTATATCTCAACAATAAAATAAAACCATGATATATGGACTGCTATTTTCATTTTGATATTAACAACTTAACAGACAGCAGAAATGTTGAGGCGTCGTGCTGCAAATATGACCGTCATCTTCACTGTATGCGTATACATAACAAGACAGAGCCTATAATATCACTGCCTCTTTTCATTTTCATTGAAAATACGAAACATACCCTCTTTTTTGCTGAATATCAATTTTAATAATCAATAATGGCCATTATAAAAGTATAACATACAATAAATTGATACATTATAGGAAATAAAGGCAAGCAATTACTCCATATACAGAATGTACATGGTTACATTAATTATTAATTTATCGTTGCACTCAGCCAAAACACGTTAACTGAGAACAAGTAATAGATTCAAAAGACTAAAGTCGGGGAATATGTTGTTAGATATTGACAACAAAATGAATTAAGTATCTCGTTTAACAAATACAGCGAGATTAGATCCAGCAGGAGATCCTTGATGAACACTCCGACCAGCACAGCTCTCATCTGTCCAGATAGGCTGCAGCACATGCCCGGAGTGTGTGTGTGGTCCTGTGATGTGCGTTTTCAGTGTTTTGGTGTAGACGGAGAGCTGTTCAGAAACACTGGGTGAAACGCTAGTGTGGACGCGGATCGTTTTCATTTTAAAACGCCATTGTAAAACTAAAACACACGAGTGTAAACAGGGCCTTAGTGTGGAGGAGAGTAAAGGGGTTCAAAATTTATTGTGGAAAAAAATTTATTTTATTATTAGTCTGTAAATATTGCAAAGGCTGATCGGATGAAAAATGCTTGTGCTATTTGAAACTCTTCAACAGTAATAATACTATTAAAGAGCAAATATTTAAGATCAAGTACATTACATTGCCTTTTCTTTCGTTGTTTCTGTCTTGCTTTTTTACTGAAAACCTCATGAATTTCAGGTTTTGACATAGCTATGATTTAATCATTTTTAATACAATTAGGTGATGTTATGGGGCAGTGCTCATTCTAGTGAGCCTCTGATTAAATAAAATTAGGGATGCATGATAAATCAATATTCTATAATGCTATACATGTTTAAATCTCAAATAAATTACTACTTCATTTCATACAGTGGATCTGGAAAGTATTCATAGCGCTTACTTTTTCCCTTTTTTTATGTTACAGCCTTGTTCAAAATGGATTAAATTAATTTATTTCAAAATTCTACAATTTTCCATAATGACAATGGGAAAAAAGATTTTTTGAAATTGTTGCAAATTTATTAAAAATAAAAAAAGCTGAAAAATCACATGTACATAAGTATTCACTGCCTTTGCTCAATACTTTGTTGATGCACCTTTGGCAGCAATTACAGCCTCAAGTCTTTTTGTATATGATGCCACGAGCTTGGCACACCTGTATTTGGGAATTTTTGCCCATTCCTCTTTGCAATACCTCTCAAGCTCTATCAGGTTGGATGGGAAGCGACGGTCTACAGCCATTTTCAGATCTCTCCAGAGATGTTCAATAAGATTTAGGTCTGGGCTGTGGCTGGGCCACTCAATGACATTCATGGAGCATTGATGTTGTGGCCATTCTAACATAAAGGCCTGATTGGTGGATTGCTGCACAGATGGTTTTCCTTCTATAAGGTTCGGGTTATTAATTTACGAGTTATAAATTTGCAGCAATTAAAAAAAAAAAAACTTTTTCACAATGTCATTATGGAGTATTGTGTGTACAATTTTGAGGAAAAAGTGAAGCTATAAATACTTTCCGGATGCACTGTATATTTAGATTATGACTGCCATTATTGCGGACTCGTTTTAAGTTACGATTTTAATGGAAAACATCCTTCTAAATTAAAATAACTTATAATTTTATTACATTTAATCTTTAGTAAATCTCGAAATGAATATCAGTTTTCATACTGTCCATTATAATTACGTAATGCATAAATTGATTTGTACACAGAGACCCAAAAGGAACATGGTGATAGAAAACAACACGAGACGGGAGTTTAAAAAGTGTTATGTTCTTTCATAAAAGTATTGCATCCTCACAAAAAATAGTTTATCATATTCCTGAAAGGATGGCACGGTGGCTCAGTGGTTAGCACTGTCGCCTAACAGCAAGATGGTCGCTGGTTTGAATCCTGGCTGGACCAGTTGGCATTTCTATGTGGAGTTTGCATGCTCTCCCTGTGTTTGAGTGAGTTTCCTTCAGGTGCTCCGATTTCCCCCACAGTCCAAAGACATGCGCTATAAGTGAATTGAATAAACTAAATTGGCCATATGAATTTATGAATGCGTGTGTGATTGTGAGAGTGTATGGTTGTTTCCCAGTACTGGGTTGCGGCTGGAAGGGCATCCGCTGCATAAAACATATGCCAGAATAGTTGATGGTTCATGGGGGGTACGTACGGCCGCGTTTATTTTTTTCAAGCGAACGCTGCAGGGCGGTGTGACGCCGTTCCCTTTCGCGCTTGCCTTACCTCCTTGCGGAGGGCTTCCCCGCTGAAACCCGTTTGTCCACTCAGCTCAGCTATTTTTTTGGGCGGCTTTTGTAAACTGTCGCTCGGGTTTAGGGAAGCAAGCGGGCGGGCGAATCGATCGGTAAAATGGGTTGGGTTGGGGGAAGGAGGAGGGCGGGTCGGCCGATTGGCCGGTTGCGCAGTCAATCATCCGGTCGAACAGGGGCCTACGCGGGTTTACGCGAGAACAGCGTGGGCACGAACCGTGCTCGCAAGAGGCGTCTAAGGTGCGAAAAAGCCTGCAACAGCGGCCTCTCACGGATTCGCGAAAACAAAAACTGCAGCCGTACGTACCCGCCGGGACGTATTCCGCGATCTCCAGAAACGTCCGCGGGACTACGTTTCCACAATGAGCCCGGGTTGCCCATTACTATTTATGGTGAAACTATTCATTTTTGCAAAGGTATTGTGTACTCCTGAGAAAGTTATCATTTTATACATATCATAAATGTTTTGCACTCCCCAATCAATTCCAATTCTGTTGCAAATGTATTGTGTTTCCTAGTGAAAGGTTTGGAAACGCAAACATTTTGTGAATGAACATGAACTATTTCTCAGAATCACCACGTCCTTTTGGAAACTCCATAGTTTTTCAGTCATCGATTTCAGCATTTTTAGTGTTTTAGGATAAATAATATTAAATATATCTAAGCTTTTCAGTATTTTTCACCATTTATGGTTCACGTCAACAATAATAATATTGCTCACTCCTCGAAAATATAAGGGCAAGATGATTATAACGTGCAGATAATAAAGTTATACAAATTTGGATTTTCCTTTCACTTTACTTAACTTTAAGTCTGCTCATTTTAACCTTTTTTTCTGGCAAAGAAACATATATGTTAACTGACACTGATTATAATACTATACAATAATTTTTAAAAAGTTTAAACGTCTCACACTACAGGTATTTTACAATAAGTATTTTAAAGAATAACCTCTAAAGGGTTAAGGGTACACCATCATATATTAGACTAACTGCTACAAAACTGATCTCATGGGATCTTTAAAAGGGTATTAATCCTTTAAAGCAGGAGTCGGGAACCTTTTATTAAAAATAAATAACAAATAATACACTTTTAAACAAAAACTTCATTTATGTACTTGTACAACTCTATAAATCACAACTATAAGTCCATGAATGAAGGACAATCTCTAGAATTATTTTTTCGCCATCACCTCTAATGAATGTTGTCTGAATTTATGTGCATGAGTTTACCATAGAAACGTAAGTTGTTCGCCTATTTTTGTTGATTCAAGTTTATTCACAACAAAGCACACATACATTGATCAAAACGTCCTTTTATTGTAAACTGAGTACTTATTTATTTTGCTGTAAAAAATGACACTAAAAAGGAATTGTGATTGTATTTTCAATAGGAAACTTTTGGATTTTTAGTGACGATTATCATTTTTTTCAACCACAAAATGTTATTGAAGAGACAGCTGGAGATTCATATATTTTTGGTCAAAGAGTCACATGTGGCTTGCGAGCCATAGGTTCCCTACCACTGCTTTAAAGACTCTGTCCATTAATGTGTGTGGAAGTACACATGTATCTACTAACCTGGAAGCCACACTAGGTACACATTTCCATGTGAAAAAGTGAAAAAGAGGGAGACAAAAAGCAGAAGTTCAAAGGCCACTCAGCGTGAGAAAAACAGAGCTTCAATGCAAAAGTCAAGGGGAGGGAAAAGAAGTCCAGTCAAAACATCAGCCTCATCAAACTCAAACACTGAAAAAGTTTTGACGTTGACGCCCAAACATGGCAGCAAAAAAGCAAGAAACCATAACGCGTTTTGACTGCAACACCAACGTGAAAAATAATCACATTTGCAAAGGAGATGAGGGAGAAAGACTGACCTCTCCAGCTCACTGATTTTTCTGTCCTTGTCATTCTTCTCATTCTCCATCTGACGCAGGATGTCCAGTAGACGATCGACTTCAGCCTGGGCTTTGGCCGAGTCCTCTCTGTGTCTGGACACATCAGCTTCAAGCGAAGAAATGCGCTCAGAAATCTCGGCATTGGCCTGGGCGTTCACTGCAGCACTGTGGGCCTAAGATAGAAACACAAGCACAACTTACACAAACTCAAATAGATCTCACACACATATAAAAATGTTTCATGTATATCTCATTAGTTTTTGCATCTGTTATTTATAATGGCTACATCCCAATTTGGATACTTATAATATGCACTAGGTGTGCGATTTTTAGCATTTACAGTAATATCGTAATTATTGTTTTAATACTTTACAATAAGGTTTTATTTAATGTTCATGTAAAAGTTATGTATTTGCTAACATGAACAAACAATGAAAAATACATTTATTACAGTATTTATCAATGTCAATTAATAAAAAGTTATTGATTGTTAGTTCATGTTCACTTACAGTGCATTTACTAATGTTGAAATCGGATTTGAACTCCTTCCTGAATAACTTAAATTATGTTCCAACTTTCAGGAAAAATGTAAAAGAATTTATTAATTTACCGAAATTCTCAAAAGAAAAATCAATTTCAAAAGAAAATCAAATAATTGATTTAAGTTATTTTTTTGTTTTGTTTTTCCATTTCAATAGACATCAGGTCAAAACAACTGTACTTTAAAAACATATTTCCAATATTAAATTAAAAATAAAATAATACAAATTGTTGATCTTTACTTGAAGGTTCGTTACAAACTTGAATAATGTAACATTTACACTGCTTTAAAATCATAGAACACGAAGAGTTAGTAAAAATTATAAATAGCTCTAAACCAGCTACGTGTATGCTGGACTCAATTCCAACAAAATTACTGAAAGAGCTGTTACCTGCTATAGGAGAACCTCTTCTTAACATTATCAACTCTTCTTTATCTATAGGCCATGTTCCAAACTCTTACAAGCTAGCTGTTATTAAGCCTATTATTAAGAAACCGCAACTAGACACCAACAACTTAGCTAACTATAGGCCTATTTCAAATCTTCCATTTATGTCTAAAATACTAGAAAAAGTTGTTTCCACTCAATTATGCTCTTTTCTGCAGAAGAACAATATTTTTGAAGTGTTTCAGTCAGGTTTCAGGGCTCACCACAGTACAGAAACCGCCTTAGTGAAAATAACCAATGATTTACTCTTAGCTGCTGACCGAGGGTGCGTCTCGCTATTAGTTTTACTCGATCTTAGTGCGGCATTTGATACCATTGACCACAATATCCTCATAAATCGCTTAAAGTCTACAGGTGTCCAGGGACAGGCTCTACAATGGTTTAAGTCATACTTAACTGACCGCTACCAGTTTGTGAATCTTAATGGACAGCCTGCACAAATCTGCCCAGTAAAGTATGGGGTGCCTCAAGGATCAGTTTTAGGCCCTTTACTGTTTACAATTTACATGCTACCTCTGGGAGACATTATTAGAAGACATGGGATCAGCTTTCACTGCTATGCAGATGATACTCAATTATATATTTCAACTAAACCTGACGAGACGTCTGAACTTTCTAAACTAACTGAGTGTATCAAAGACATCAAAGACTGGATGACCAACAATTTTCTTCTCTTAAACTCCGACAAGACAGAATTATTACTTATTGGGCCTAAATCTTGCACACAGCAGATCTCGCAACTCAATTTACAATTAGAGGGATACAAAGTTAGCTTTAGCTCTACTATAAAAGATTTGGGTGTCATATTAGACAGCAATCTAACTTTTAAAAACCATATATCCCATGTCACAAAAACTGCCTTCTTTCATCTGAGAAATATCGCTAAATTACGAAATATGCTATCCATCTCAGATGCAGAAAAGCTAGTCCATGCTTTTATGACTTTGAGACTGGATTACTGTAATGCTCTATTTGCTGGCTGCCCAGCATCCTCTATTAACAAACTTCAATTAGTACAAAATGCAGCAGCCAGAGTTCTGACCAGGTCTAGAAAATATGATCATATAACCCCAATTTTATCCTCCTTACACTGGCTGCCTGTTAAGTTTCGTATTGAATTTAAAATATTACTTCTCACCTATAAAGCTCTAAATAATCTAGCTCCTGTTTATCTAACCAACCTTCTGTCTCGCTACGAACCAACTCGCTCTTTAAGATCTCAAAATTCAGGGCTTCTGGTAGTACCTAGAATAGCAAAATCAAGTAAAGGAGGTCGAGCCTTCTCTTTCATGGCTCCTACACTCTGGAATAGCCTTCCTGATAACGTCCGAGGCTCAGACACACTCTCCCAGTTCAAAACTAGATTAAAGACCTATCTGTTTAGTAAAGCATACACTCAATGCATCACCTAGCGGGTTCCACACTGGCTTCTGCATCTTGCTTATATACACTATGAACAGCAGCTATGCTAATTATTCTCTTTATTCTCTATTTTCACCTGGGGATACTCATCCCGAGGTCCTCAGATTAGGCGGAGTCACTGATTGGATCTAAGACCAGCGACGTGATGATCCCAAGGATTCCATATCTGGGACCAGGCCATATCCTGAGCTGCTGCTGCGCTGATGGTCGTGGGGAGTGGAGAACATGTGTCTGATTCCAGCGACGCTCCAGGGACAGACGAGTCTTCATTGAGGCCATCTTCTAGCATAAACCACGGCGAATGAAGTTCTGCACAAGACTTTTGGCCAGCGGAGAAATTAAAATGGTCGTGCCCAACTGAGTCTGGTTCTCTCAAGGTTTTTTTTTCTTCACTCCCATCAGGTGAAGTTTTTTTCCCTCTCCGCTGTCGCCACTGCCTCGCATGGTTCAGGATTGGTAGAGCTACACATCGATGAATTTGCTCTTCAGTGTTTGAACTCTCAGTAATGATTAAATCACACTGAACTGAGCTAAACTGAACTGAACTGAACTGAACTTAAACACTAAAACCTGAACCACACTGTTCCAGTTACTGAACCACACTGTTCCAGTTACTATGACCATTTATGTGAAGCTGCTTTGACACAATCTACATTTTAAAAGCGCTATACAAATAAAGCTGAATTGAAATTGAATTGAATTTGAACTTTCATTTTTAGGTTTTAGTTTTATGGACTGCACATTATTAGAACTCACAGTACGTTATAATGGATGGACATTCAAACCAAATACAGTATTTCACCCAAAAATACAAATTCTGTCATTATTTACTCATTCTTTAATTGTTTCAAACATTTATGCGTTTCTTTTTTCTGTTGAACACAAACGAATATATTTTGAAAACAGCTGGAAACCTATAACCATTGACTTTTTTTATGGAAGTCAATGATTACAGCTCTTTTTTTTGTGTTCTCGAACAGATTTGGAACAAGTGAGAAAATGATGACAGTATTTCCAGTTCTGGGCGAACTATCCCTTTAAAAGCATATTTGTGTGTGTTTTGTAAAGAGGAAAGAGTTATTGGCATGAAGAGGTTCGAACCAGAGTGAGAAATCCATAAATGATTATAGCTCTTTTGATGGAACAATGGCTACAATAATGTTTCAATAATGTATTCTGCGGTTTTTTTCCTTGTCCATACACACTTAACAAAAAAAACTACATCTAGCCAATTAAATATTTTAAAGCGTAGCAAAACTGGTAATAATTTTATTTCTATGCTGTGGCTCACCTTCTTGAGTTGGTTCTCCAGTTTACTGCACTCCTCTCTCCTCTGCTCAAGGGCGATCTCTAGACTCTTCAGTTTGGAGTCTTTCTTCAGGCCAGACGAGGCCAGGGACGACGCATGCTCTTTCAGGTCCAGCAGAGAAGTCTGGAAACAAACAGCATTGAGGTCGCAGGTATATAACTAACAAACACTTTTAGTAAATATGTACCTTTATAAGGTCGAGGCTTGGTGGTTTATCTGTTCTGACAGACACTCTTATGTCATGTAGGATATGTGCTTGTTTTAAGGTTGATTACATCACGTAATGAGCAGATTTCTTTTTCAATTAAATTAAATATTGTGGAAGACATTCTGAAAATGCAATTAAAACCCCTTGTGGTCTCCCGGCCAGTACCTGGATGGGAGACCACAATGGGAAAGCTAGGTTGCTGCCGGAAGTGGTGTTAATGAGGCCAGCAGGGGCGCCCAACTTGCGGTCTGTGTGGGTCCTAATGCCCCAGTATAGTGACGGGGACTCTTTACTGCTCAGTAAGTGCTGTCTTTCGGATGAGACGTTAAACCGAGGTCCTGACTCTATCGTCATTAAAAATGAAAAAAAAATATTGTAATGTTTTTTGCACAAATTTAATAAGTTCTGCAGCAAAAATATTATTATTTGTTTTAAATTCTTTTGCAAATTTGCAAAAATTTGAAGTAAATCTATTTGAAAACAATTAAAAATAATAATTATTTACCTTAAAATGTTTGTGTTTGTTTCAAGGTTAACCACTTTACACCCTCTAATCAACAGATTTTTTTTTCAATTTGTCATTTAGTAATTTTTTTACTCACATTAAATAAATCCATATTTGGAATAAATGTCATATTGTGGAAGATATTCTGAAAATTAAGTTCAATTAACTTCAATTAAGTTAAAAAAATTGTATTCTTACTTTAAATATTTTATACTTTTTAAATATGAACATCACTATATTTTGCTAGATTAATATTAAAATATATTTGCCAGTTTTACCATTTTTAAATAGATTCAGATGATCTCTGGATCTGACATTAGCACTTTTAGCTTAGCATAGATCTTTGAATTAAATCAGATGATTAGCATCCCACTCAAAAATTAGATAAATGTGTTTGAAAATAATAAAAAATCTTTTATTTTGGGAAAAAAAAATTTGTAAAGTTTTTTGCAAAATTTTTTTAAGTGCTGCAGCCAAAATACTATTAACGAATGACCTGCCCTCTTTCCTCCCTAAACCCAACCAATAGTGTTTTTAAAAAGCACCTATTGACCCACCCACCCACTTCCCTAAACCCAACCGACAGTTTAAAAAAGTATTCGAGAAAAGCCCTTGCCTGATTTTTACAGCGGGAAAGCTGTCCATACAAAAGTAAGCGGTGAGCCGTTAAAGCCTTTAAACGGTGAGCCGTTAAAGAAACGGCGTCATACTGCCCCGTAGCTTTCCTTTTAAAGATGAAATGCAGCCATACGTTCCTCTGGCTACATAATTTGCAACCTCCAGAAATGTATATAGGGCTTTGTTCTCAGAATAAACCTATGCTAACATTTTGTGTGGCAAAAATATTTTAAATATGCCATGTAAAATATGGCATGTTTCAAGGTTGACCACCTTACATCCCCTTATGAGCAGATTTATTTATCAATTTGTCAAAGTAATTAATTAGTAATTAAGTAAAATGAATCTTGTATCTTCAATTAAGTAACCTTTTTTTTCAATCTTACTATTTAATATTTTTTAAATATAAACCTCACTAGACGTTGTTAGATTAATACGAAAATCCATTTGCTAGTTGGGTGATCTGATTTCTTATGCAATTTGATCTGACAAATATTAAAATAATAGTTTGCCTGAATTCTTTTGTATTGTGTTTTTTTTTTTTTTTTTGCACACATTTCATAAGTACTGCATCAATAATGATTAGAAAAATTTAAATTGAATGGTGTTTTCCTGTGATTTTTCAGTACCTCACGGTCTGACAGGTCTCCCTGCAGCAGACTGACTTTCTCCTTTAACTCCTTCAGCTCTTTTTTACTGGTGTCCAGCTCTTCGGCTTTCTCTCGCTCCTCACGGTCACGTTGCTCCTTCAGACGCTCAATAATACGTTCCTGTTGAGAAGTGCTCACATTAACACGGTGCCAAAAAGACAGCATATACAAGGAGCATCAAGTGTTTATAACCAAGCACAGATGTTTCAACTCCAGACAGTTACCATTTGGAGGAGCACCAGTGTTTTGTTCTAAAGTCTGGTCATCTAGAGCAGTGTTTCCCAACCTTTTTTTCAGGAGACCTCCATTTTAATTATGCCCCTTTTCAAAAGATGCAAAATACATCTCTGGTGTTCCTAGAAAACACACTAGCTGCGTCCCAAATGCCACACTATACACTATGCACTTATGCACTTACACACTCAACAGGATAGTATATGTATGTAGTGTCGTCCCAAATGGAACACTAATGTCTTTTTACTAATCAGAAATAAACGAAATAAACGAATAAACGTGAAATAAACGACCGAATTATCAAATAATACCTGCCATGAGTATAACCGCATTAACCCTCAGGAGGCGCTATAATCACTCTCGTTGGAGAATTTTGCTTTCACCATCCAAAATAAATAAAGTTATCCAACATGTGCGCCCGATAGCTCCGCCCCTTCCACTACGTGAGCAAACCTGTGGTTGTTGAGTGTATGAAGTGTCCATCATTACACACTTTATTTTACCAGCTGAATGAGTGCATTATCCGGGTAATAAAAGTCTACTTATTATTTTTTGAGTTTTCATTGTGACACTACTTACACTATTTATACTATAAAATGGCGTAGAATAGTGCATAAGTATGCGATTTGGGACCCAGCTACTGTCTTTATGCACGTCTCTTTAAATGCAAATGAGCTGCTGCTTCCAAGAAGAGGGCGCAGCCTGTACATGCTATTCTAATAGAAACAACAAAACAAGTGAATCTTGCACAGCCAAAAAGTCCAATAGTGATTTTTTAATGAGTTACAACATTTTTTTTTATCTATTCAGCCTATATTCCTGTATGGTGGGACCACTTTTAGCTTAGTTTAGCATAAAATATTGAATCAGATTACATTAGTTAAAAGCTGCCACTTTCGGGAAAAGTGCTTTTTTGTAAAGATTTGTACATTTAGTTCTAAAACAATCAAACACTTTTTAAAAATTTTATGCATTGCGATTTATTTATTTTATTTATGATGAGTTTATAATTCCCAATACAGAATTTACGCTTTTTAAATTTTTGTTTTATTTATTATATGATTTATGAATACAATTATAATGCAAAAGATCCTGAATTTATCACGTGAAAAAAATTCATGACCATGTTTTGTAGGTTGTAGTCACCGCTGTGAATGTTGCTTTTAGCATAAAATAAATGTATTAATAGGGTAACACTTTACAATAAGGTTCATTAGTTAATGCATTTACTAACATGAACTAATCATGAACAACGCATGTATAGCATTTATTAACCATAATTGAACATTTACTTATGCATTATTAACATCCTAGTCCATGCTTTTTAACATTAGTTAATGCACCATGAGTTAACATGAACTAACAATGAACAACTGTATTTTCATTAACTAATATTAACTAACATGAACAAATAAAGTAGTAGATTTATTGTTCATTGTTTGTTCATGTTAGTAAATGCATTAGTTAACATTAACTAATAAATCTTATTGTAAAGTGTGACCACTAATAGAATTACACACACAACAGCCCATTTTGTTTACCTAATCACCCATACTGCTTGTATTTGGACTGTGGGGGAAACCGGATATTTACCTACCTAGTACCCCTTAAACATGTAGTAGTAATGGGTACTTTTTATTAAATACATTTTTGAGGTTGTACTTCTTTACTTTTACACAAGTACAAAATTGTTATTAGTACTTCAACTTTTACCAGAGTCGTGAGTATCTGTACTTTTATTTGAGTAAAGAATGTGTGTACTTTTGCCATCTCTGGATGGAGGTTAGCTGATTAGCCGCTCTGTAAAATCATTGCAACTACACCTGAACTACAGTGACATGACCAACGACAGTTCAAACATACTTCAAACTACGCATATGTGACAGTTTTGAAAACAGTCATAACCGAATAATTTCCCCCAAAAAACATTATTATTTTGGAAACACATAACAATAAACAGAAAAACATTCACAATATTTACAACCCATTTTATAAATATCTTTGTACTGACTTTTTAAAAAAAAAAAGTTTTATATTTTCATGTGTTTAGAGCACACATTATTGTTATTTTGGTTTAATATTTAGTCAAACTATGCATTGATATGAACAAGTCTATGGTCTGAATTCATTCATATCATTTCCCTCAGAACTTAGTTTACACTTCTTTACTTTTAACCCACAAACTACAGTGAATTTAGTGACCCCCTGTCATAAATCATTGGTGAGCCCCAGGTTGGGAAGCACTGTGTTAGAGCGTCCTCTAGAGGAGCTCCTCACCTTCTCAGCCAGTGAGTCCTCCAGTGTGGTCAGGGCAGTGTCTGTATTAGAGGTGTCCGTCTGTAAGGATTTAACCCTCTCTCTCAGACTGCTCATCTGTTTCTCTTTATCCCTCAGCTGCTCCTGCAAGTTTTCAATCTGAAACACATCGGTTAAAATGAGATTGGTAACATTAAAGTGACGTTTTAATTGTCTAAAAGTATTTTGAATTTACTCTTACTCAAAAAAAGCTATAATGTCACAGCTTATCTCAAAGCATCTGACCCTATTTTGCCCCACTGATGCCTCAATATTTAACCCACACTTGAATGTTACATGTTTAAACATTACAAATTTTCAATCACAACAATTAAAAAACATTTATATTAAACAATTGTAATTTCCAAGAAAACAATTATCTAGATTTCTGTATTTTTTTTAATTTGTAATAGTTGTTGTTAGTCCTTTTCAGAATTTTTGTTTTCATTTCATTCATTCATTCATTCATTTTCTTGTCGGCTTAGTCCCTTTATTAATCCGGGGTCGTCACAGCGAAATGAACCGGCAACTTATCCAGCAAGTTTTTACGCAGTGGATGCCCTTCCGGCGGCAACCTATCTCTGGGAAACATCCATACACACATTCACACACACACACACTCATACACTACGGACAATTTAGTCTACCCAATTCACCTGTACCACATGTCTTTGGACTGTGGGGGAAACCGGAGCACCCGGAGGAAACCCACACGAAGGCAGGGAGAACATGCAAACTCCGTTTCCATTTCACTCAATCCGTATACCAAAAGTATTGCAAATTCATAGGAACTGAATTTACAATACAGTCGTCTCTTAATTTTTTTCCATAGCTGTATGTATATATACAGACACACAGTTTTGTCAAAATTCTTTTAAAAAGAATTTCTCAATTTTCTTCCTTTTTTCCAAGGCGAAAATGTTCTAGGTGAAAGGTCAGACTAAGTGTGGTTGATTTATGAGTCAAATGAAATCAAGGACCATGACGTCGCCTGGTATGGCACAGCCGGGGCCCTACCCTGGAGCCAGGCCTGAAGTTGAGGCTCATATGCAAGCATTTGTGGTGGCTGTTTTTTTCCCAAAGAACCTGGCTTGGCTCAGCCCGAAGAACCGACATGGGGCCATCCTCCTGAAAGCCCACCTCCTGAAAGCACATCCTCCAGGAGGAGCCAAAAGGGGCTGGGGCATTTTGGCACAGTTGGTGGTTAAAGTTCTGGACGCGATAACACAGAAGTTGGCTTTTGGGACATGGAATGTCACCTTAATGTGAGTGAAGGACCCAGAGCTTGTGCAGAATGTTGAACAGTACTGAGTAGAGATAGTATCACCTCTGATCTGTTGTGGTAAAGAAAGAGCTGAGTCAAAAGGCAAAGCTTTCAATATACTGGTCAATCTAAGTTTCCACTCTCACCGATGGTCGTGATTTAAAGGACAAGATCTCGGATACAAGTGGCCGAAATGACTTTTCTTTGCAGGGTGGCAGGGTGTACCCTTAAAGATTGAGATAGATTAGAGTAAGCTCCTGAGGAGCTCTGTCACCCGTAAGGATCACAGAGTAGAACCACTGCTCCTCCATATCGAGAGAAGCTAGTTGAGGTTCCTCTGGCATCTATTTCAGATGCTTCATGGATGCCTACCTAGGGAGGTGTTCTGGACACGTCCCACCAAGAGGAAGCCCCGAGGAAGACACATGACGCCTTAGATTCACCCCAGAGGAACTGGAGGATGTGTCTGGGGTTCTCTCCTGAGACTTTTGCCCCTGTGACCCACCTCCGGATAAGCAGCAAATAATAGATAGATGGATGAATGATTGATGAAATCAAAATTAACAATGTTTTTTTTGCTAGCACAAAATGTTAATCTGTCATAGCTAATGAATCAAAGTCTGACTATTTGCTCCTGCATTTGGAGTGGAGGTCCTTCTCTGTTGACGTCAGTTTGACAGCTTCATTCATAATATTCTTAACCACGCCCGTTACCGTTAGTTTGCTATGACAAAATTATAAGCACAAGAAAGCCCCATCTCTACTCAATATTCAGTTTTTTGTACATCAACAAACTGATGTCTCAACAACTTCTGGATCAAGCTGACTTTATCACAAGGTGATGAAAAACTTTTTAAACAGACTTTTAAAAAAAGCAGTCCTCACTTTTTTCTGGAGCACGTTGACTTTACGCTCCTTGACATCCAGCATGTCCTTCAGATCATGTATTTCCCCATTGAGTGTGCTTTTTTCTTCAGACATTTCTTGAATCTGCTTACTCTTTTTGTTTAACGTGGTCTCCTTCTCCTCCAGACGCAACCTCAGAGCATCCACCTGCAAAACAATGTCAGAGATCAGGGAATCTGATGGTCCGATGGGCGAAGACTAACCACCGGTGAGATCTATTACCTCTGTCTGCAGAATAGCAGCCCGTTGCTCTTTGGCAGTTAGAGACTCTTTGAGCACTTCAATATGCTGTTTGCTGTCAGAAAACTGGTTAGTCAGGGTTTCCAACTTGGTCTGCAAGCCAAGAAGCTGGGTGTCTTTTCTGGAAAGGTCTTGCTTAACTTGGTCCATCTACAAAACAGAAGAAGTTCGTTGTTATACTGTAGTGGTTCTCAACTGGTTTGGCCATGGGACCCACATTTTTACATGGTCTTTAGTCCGCGACCTAAATTTTTAGGAACTATAATACAATTTTAGCAATTATACTTAATTTGTATTTATTTGTTAACATACACAAGTAGTGACAGATAAATCATAAGAAAATCACCAAGACTTACAAATAAACAATATTTTATTGCTGTCATTTAACAAAATGTATCAAATTATAGAAATATTACAAAGTAAAAATAACAAATACTTTTAGACTTCAGTCAATTATGCACAATGTAGATCATCCTCTTCATAATGTGGTTGACGAGCTGAGAAGTACCTTTAGTCACAGACTTACCAGCTTAAAGTGTTCCACTGAACGCCACAGAAAATCCTTCCTTCCCACTGGTATCAGACTTCATAACGTCTCCCTCAGTCACTTACCCTTACAGTAATCTATGCTATACCTTGCTGCTCGTGCCATATATTACTTATTACGGGTTTTAGTGTGTGGAAGTCTGTGCATTATGTTTTATGATGTGCAATGATCTACTAGGTGCAATATTTGTAAATTTTTTTACTGGGTCTTAAATATTTTTAGTGCAATATCATTGTTTTTTAAATGAGTGCTGAATCACTTTACTACTTGAAATATTTTATGTGTAATTGTTTTATGTGTAATATTATTGGTTTTGGTTAATATTATCTTCATTACTTGATATATGACTTAATAGTATTAGTTACCACTGATTCTTTTAAGTGTGATATCTTATATAATAGTTTGTATACTTATGTATTGTGGCTGTTTCCTTTTATAGATTGGTTGGATTTATGTGACTTATTTCACTTATTTAATTTATTTATTTTGTCTTGTGGTTTTGTGTTTCTGTGTTTTGTGTGTTATGGCAGTCATTACATAAGCAATTTCCTGCGGGATCAATAAAGTTTTCTAAGTCTAAGTCTAAGTCTAAGTCTAAACAGTGGTTAGGGTAAGGATAGGTTCAGTTGCCATTAAACTGGTAATAAAACACTCTGTTTGATAAAAGTCGTTTTAATTTAGACGGTTTCATGCTCTCTTGTGAGAGCACCTCGCTACTTAAGACACACTGAGGCTTTAAGTCTTTTTTGCTGTCAATATATGTAAATCCATACTTTACATATTCAGGGTCATATTTGCGCTTTGACATATCTTTTGCTATAATTAAATGAAATTTCACATGTCAAAAGGTAGGGTTTTCGTGCACGCATTTTTTGTTGTTGTTCTGACCACACACTCTTGGGAGTGTCGCAACCCACTGAAAATGTTCCAGTGACCCACTTTTGGATCGCGACCCACCAGTTGAGAAACACTGTTATACTGTATTTACAGTATGTGAAACAATTGCACCTGATATTAAGATGCATTTAAGTCAATCTGATCGAAATGGGTGACGTTAAATTGTAAATGTGAATGACTGTCAAATGTCACGAGCTTGTCTACTTTCAGTCACTTCCTAAGGTTGTCAAAGGGCATTAGTGTGGGCTGCTTTCATAGTTTAAACTCTTATGAGGTATTGGGGACAGGATTTTTACTTCACTACTGGTACTTAAGAACATTTATACTGTGGGTATTCAATGGTTGTTTTTTGGTCGGCTGAAAAACATTCTAAGGTATCCGATTGTTTTAAGGAACCACAGGGCTAAAGTACCAGGTAGGTTTTGACCACATTACAAGTAGATAATACATTTACTTCACTTCTGCTTTAATAAGTTAAATAATCATATGTAAAATAGCCCTGTATAGTCTTCATTGTATAAATAATTAAATACAATTAATCCTTGTTAAAGCTTAAATTTAAAGTTAAAGCTATAACTATTTGCTTTAAATTCGCTTGAAATCTTACATAGTCGCAGACCTTAAAATCACATCCAAATGAAAATCTTTAACTCTGTTAGGGTTCAGATTTTGCTGTTACCCCACAAATCACATGTTCTGAACTATAGTGGCTGGTTATTATAATCCCACCTCAACATTGCAGATCATGCGATGTGACTATGGACCCTTTTCATATTTCTGGGTTTCTCAGTAGCAGGAGAAATGTGTGGGAGAATAAAAAGTACAACTGCTCTCTTGGTTTCCCATTCAAACCAAGAGAGCAGTGAATGGGAAAGTACAACAAATATTTTTGACAATTATTTGCAGAAATAATAAAAGAAAAACTCGACGATGGTGTCATCAAGACTTTTAGAAAAAAAGAAAATAATTGTGTGAGACTGATAACAGCACCTAGAAGAGAGAACAACGTCAAATTTACTGTCCTGCCCATACACTCTGCATCGTCTCACATAAGCAGTAATTAGTTTTTTGTAATTTGATTCAAAGATTATGTAATACATATACATATAAATGTTCATACTTTTTAAAAAAAAAAATCTAAATATTAAAAACCTCTAAGGATTTAAGATTATGATGACCATTAAACATGTCATAATAGTCTCATGAAAACTCGTGGCCTACAACTGTCAAAAATCAAAACAAAACAAAAAAGAAGGCTTTGGATGAGATGTTTAAGAACATAGTACAATGCACAGGAGCAGGTAAAGGATAAAAAATTGACAAATATCTTGAATTATTAGAACTTAATACACACTGGCTTGACTTTGCTCCATCGCTGCGTCAACACCTTTACTAATAATCAAACAATGGCTCAAAGTCAATTATTCCTCACATTATAATCTGTCCTCATCAGAGTATTTTTATTTTAGGAAACTTTTACCTAATAACGTTCCAAAACAAAATATTGTACTTTTTATTCTCCCACACATCACAAATATATTTTGAAGTGAAGAAAATGTTAATTGAGATGTGATAACGGTGTCCAGGCTGAATCTTGTCAGTTAACCTGTTAAATTGGTGAATTAATTTGTGAAATCTACAGATCCAGTTGCATCTTTCTCCAATAAACAACTTGATTTAATTATATAATCATTTTTCTATACACTAAACCATTGTTTCCAAACCCTGTTCCTGGAGGCACACCAACAGTACATATTTTGGGTGACTCCCTTTCCTGCCTATTAATTTCAGGTTTTGGAGTCTCTTCTATTGTTCTGATGAGTTGATTCAGGTGTGTTTGATTAGGAGGTGGTTGAAAATGGGTACTGTTGGTGTGCCTTCAGGAACAGGGTTGAGAAACACTGCACTAGACAATATGATATGTTTCATTTGTCAAAAAAAGACTGTTAAAGGCCAAAACCAAACTTGTCCAAACTACCATAAAGGTTTGGTCTTCGCACCAAGATGTTTAATCCAGAAAAAAGAATTGTCTACCAACTCCTAAGCTGAAATTATTTTACAAAATATAAACAAAAGATTATAAAGTAAAGAGGCAGGACAGGGAGAGTACACAAACTCCTGACTACATCCATTTTTTTTTAGTTATGAGGATCATTGTTTCCCTTGCTGAACTTTTTAAATTAGATAAAACATGAACTTCAAAAAAAAAAAAAGAAGTGATCTCTCAGCAAACAACGGGAGACATACAATAATGCGTTTCTTCTGACCATTTGTGTTCCGATCACCAAAAACACGTTTAAACCAGGAGGAAATGGCAGAATCTTGATGTGTTATTTTAAAGCAGAGAGCGCAATACCTTGTTCTTCATGAACTTGGTGTGGTTGCGATAGACTTCCATCTGCTTGGCTTCCTCCTGCCGCTCTTCACAGCTCAACATGCTGCTGGAGCGAAGCATCATCACCTGGTCCTCCAACTCTCTAAGGCCCCGCTCCAGAGAACCGATCTGAGAATCCTGAGAGACACGTCAAAATGAGTCACGCCAGCTTTAATGTCAATAATGAACAACACCGGTGTCTCAATTTGGCTTCACAATGATAGGAACTTGGTAGGAATTTAAATTTTGTAGCTATTTATTTAACCTCAGGCCAGCCCAGATCAATGAAAGTTGTTTCCAGAGAATTAGGAAATTGATGGAAGACCTTATTTTTTCCATCTAAGGGACTTTTGAGCCAGGGGAACTTTTTCATAGTTCCTAGAACTATTGGCAAAATTATATACTTTTTTGTGTGTTCGTATTACATGATCCGGAAAATGTAAAGATGTACCAAGTCCTATTTGTTTGAGTCAAATGGGAACTATTCAAGTCAGTTCATTTGATTATTATAAGTTTATACTACAATGACTTTTTTATGAAATTAAGTATTAAGGTATGTGTCCACCGAAGCAAGCGCTCTTCCAAAACTCTTAAAGAAAAAAAAAAAAAAAAACGCCTAAAGCGGATGTTCAGAGCTTTGCCACACTGCAGGTGTAGAAAAAACAGGCCATATTCATTGACAACAGCTGAAAAAAATATGCTCACTTCATTGGACGGACACTTTGGGAAAACACTCTTTGGTGGATATAAACCCTTATAAACATTACAATCAGGCCATTCTTAAAACATGCACTCAAAAAATGTGGTTTCATTCATCATCAAAATTAAGCATGCATTCATTCATTTTCCTTCGGCTTCGTCCCTGATTAATAAGGGGTCGCCACAGCGGAATAAACCGCTTCAAAAAGTAAGCATTAACGTTAAAAGGATAGTTCATACAAAATGTAAATTCTATCATCATTTACTCATCCTCCACAAACCTTTTTGAGTGGTTTTTGATCTTCACAAATGAAGATATACTGAAGAATGTTGGGAAAAGCAGCAATTGTATTTCCATTTTGAGTTAAATGTATTATGGATGTCAACAGTTGTTGTTTTTTTCCAACAGCCTTGAGATCAGGGGTGCCCAAACTTTTTCTTATAAAGCACCAAAAACCAAACTGGACTGAGGACTGTGGGCCAAAGCTTAATGTACGAAACAGTATGACATTAAATTCGCCATGGGAAATATGACAAATTTATGGCATGGGTAATATGCTAATATTTAAAAATAACTAAAAAAAATGTTTCTTTAAAACATAGTAAAGTTTTTAGCAGTATCATTTTAGGCATTTTATAATGAACATAATACAGTAAAAACATAAACAATCCCATTTATAGAACAATGGAGTTCAATGCTGATTACAGCAGTTGAGCTGCTCCTGCCTTTGCCTTGATTTGCTCGCCGATGCCTTGTGCATCTGTCAACTGACAATATTTACGTTTTAAAAGTCTGATTTATTTACAACATTTAATTGAAACATTTAATTGTAGTTGTGGCTCCTCAATATAAAAAGAACCTAAAGTTTACATTAAATTTGAAATGCTGATTTCCATCAAAGGCATTCGCCCCAACCACCTCCCCATCATTCCCCCTCTCTTTTCAGATGGGATGGCGGGCCAAATCAAATGTTACCATGGGCTAACCACCATGCCGCGTATATGATAGTAAAAAGTAATGCACACCGGACTCGCACATTCACATGTTATTTAATATGAAACTATTCAGATGTCACTCTGTGGTGCAACAGAAATATGAAGAGTCGTAGCTGGGTGCCGCAAACAGCCGCCTATTTGGGGTCCCGTGTGCATACCCCAATAGAAATCTGCGTTTAGAATTCTAAAATGCATGGCGACAATGACAGACCTATTAGAAATGAAAAACAATATGTTATGATAAGGGGGTGGCTCGGTGGCACAGTGGGTAGCAATGTCACTTCACAGCAAGAAGGTCACTGGTTCGAGCCTCAGCTGGGTCAGTTGGCATTTCTGTATGTTCTCCCTGTGTCCACGTGGGTTTCCTCTGGGTTTCCCCCACAAGTCCATAGACATGCGCTACAGGGGAAATGGGAAAGCTAAATTGTCTGTAGTGTATGTTTGTGAAAGAGAGTGTATGGGTGTTTCCCAGGGATGGGTTGCAGCTGCAAGGGCATTCACTGCATAAAACATTTGCTGGATAAGTTGGCGGTTCATTCCACTGTGGCGACCCCTGATTAATAAAAGGACTAAGCCAATAAAAAAATAAATGAATGTTATGATAAGCACATGAAGATACAACATACAACCAAGGATAATTTGGACAAAGCCACAATGAGCGCCTCCTCTGCCATGGTATACTGTAGATCTTTTTCTTAGAACGCAAAATTACCCATAAGGCTTTGCGTGTATGCGCAAGGAGGATGCTAAGAACTTTCAAATTCAGACAGCTTTGAAATGATAGTTTTAGGCCCAATCCCAATTCTACTCCTTAGCCCTTCCCAATTCTCTTCAGCTTGAAGGCGTAGGGCTAAGAGGAAAAGGTAGATAAGCCCTTCGAACAGATATTTTTCAGGACCATACTCAAAACCAAATATATTCATAACCACGTTCGTGTTTTACTGTCTTGCTTAAAAAAACGCTAAAATGAAAAACACTAAATTTCGCTATCTATAATCCATAATAATAACTCCTGTACAGCAGTCCCACAACATTCTGACACTCGATGACACTTGAATACCCTGTCAAAAACAGTCTAGTAGCTGCGAATGGGCTTTTTTTACATTGTCTACTACAATGTTAATGTTGTTTTTGGTGTGTTTACACAAAATAATATCGCCACTGTGTAAATGCGCACTAAAGTTACGATCTTATTGTCACATTATATCGTTATGATAACATAATATTGTTGCCTTCAGTTATTTCCTTAAGATAAATACCAAAAAAAAATGTAACTGGAATAACTACAGCAGTCGCGATCGTCAAACTCATATGAAGCAAGAGATATGATGACGTGTGCAGGTGTTGTAGTGCTGTCCCATTTTTTTGGGGGGTAAATTTTGAAACCCTTCCCCTTCACACTTAGTTTTAAGGGCCAGGGGTAAGGGGAAGGGGTACAAAAATAGAATTGGGATAGGGCTTTAATCTATCTTATGTGCTTTTAACGTCTTTGAACTGTCGATCAGAACCACCTCCTGGACTGATTATTTAAAATATGCGAACTAATGGGATGGAAAACAACTGCTGTGAGGCATTTTTCCCTCATCGTCAGACGGCATCTTGTGCCATTTAAATAGAGTCTCGTCATTGCTAATGTGATCATTTTCTCTTTCTTTCAAACATATAACCAACCCAAACAAGTATACTTCACTAAAATGTTTGACACACACACGTAGCCTACTGTCCCACTACCACAATGATTGAATAAGTGTCACAAAGTGAAAATAAAGTGGCATTTTGAAATGACAGAAAAACACAAACCATGGTAAATGCTACACAAAACTAACTAAAAGTAACATAAACGGCTCCCGATTAAAATTGACATGCAAATTTGCCATTAGAGTATTAGTTACAGACTTAAGTTTAATGCCAGTATTATGGTTTGTTCTTTATAATGCAATTAGGTATTGTATGTGCGTGTGTGTGCATGCGTGTGTGTGTGTGTGTATTGAAGAGCCACAGAGTATAGTATAACTGCTGACAGGTCGGGAACAGTGAAGCTGTATTTTAGCATCTGATCTGATGGCAGACACTGAATTAGGAGAGCATTTTTCTCTTATACTTGAAGCGCATCTGACAGAAGTATAACTGTTTTAACCCACGTCTTTCTTTCAAAATTAGTTTTGCATCACAAAAACACTTAAAACAGTTTTGACACCAAGTTGAGAAATGCTGCTCTGGCTGATGACAATTCTTAACGAAAGTTCTGAGCACCCTACCGGAAGGCGCTGGTCACTATGGCGCCCTCCATGCAACAACGAAGAAAAAGGTCTATAACAGTAAAAAAAAAAAAAAACAGTGGTCATGGCAACTTTCTACTATAAACAGAAGCTTGCCCCACCTCAAAGCTCTTCTGAATGGTCAGCTCTTCTGCTTTTAGAGCTGACTGTGATGAGCTGTGCTGCGTGTGAAAGTTAAAGATTGTGTGTGGCGCGAATGATGTTAATGTAACAGTCAAACACGCATGTTTACATTAGAAAACAATAGAAAAGTAGCGCATTGGAAAGAAAAAATCGCATTCTGTGTGCACATTTCCTTACTAAAAATGTAGAACTGCTTGAGTGTGAGTGAATGGTCAGTGAATTTTCATTTTTGGGTGAACTATCCCTTTAATAGCCTAAACAGAGAGCGACAGTCGAGTTGCATAAACAAAACTTCATTGATTTTCTTCAAAGGGAAACAGATAAACCTCGAAAAACTCACCCATTGCTTTTACAATGCTAATCAATTATATATACTTTTGATGAAAAATAAACCAATTGAAGTCATATAAAGAAAATTGTGCCAAATTAGATCTTTAGCTCCGCCCACTCCCATGAATCTTTTTGATTTGATTGGATCGTTCACAATGTTTCATGGGACTGTAGTTTATTTTGATCAGTGAAGACAGAACGTTATTTTCCCTCCCTGCCAGACAAAACATAAGCAAACAGTATACATAAACAGTATTAAAACAGGGGCTAAAGTATTACCTTCATCTCAATGACAGTCTGAAGAGCTTTTGTTTTGGTGGTCTCTGGCGTCCCCTCGAGGCGGCGGTGCAGCTCCTGCAATTTAACACACATGTTTGCCACTTCCTTCACACCAGTACCAGAAATAGAGCTCTCAGATACGCCATCATACCTTAAGGGAGGGCAGCGTTTTTTTGTCTGTTTGTTTTTTTGCTTTTGCCTGTGTCTATCACACTGCAGAAGCTGCTTTCGAGTGCAAATGTGTTCTGCTATCTAGTTCGATTACAAATCCTAATTTTTACGCTTTAAAGAGAGCAGATGCCTTTATTGTGTGACAGGATGTTGTGATGTTGTTCATTCACTACAGATATTTTAGATATTTAATATTTCATTTATTTGTACTTTTCCTGAGAAAGGAGGTGCTTAACCTTCAGAAAACCTGGTCGTCATCTTCAGAAGCATGTAGTTAATATTGTATGAGTGGCTTTATTTGTCATCCATTTTGTATGAGGTTTGTCAACCATGTTATTCAATCTAAACTATATTATTCCAAAATACACTTTAGATTCTCATTTATTAGATTGTATTTTATATAAATATATATGTAAATTTAAAAAGCTAGTTTCTCAAATAAAAATGTAATCAGAACATTTAAAAACTACATTAGACACTAGAGAGTAATGAGTAACTAAATCTTTGCCAAATTATTACCACCTTTAAACAGTTTTCAATTGTTTTAGCACATCAGATTAAACTAAATGAGAATTAGACATTTCTTTCTATTGTTTTTTCTTATATGTAAAGGAACGCCTCACTTTTGTGCAAATAGGCTCATTTTACAAGTTAAACAGTTGAGTTTTAATTCAATCATTTTTTAAACTATTCAGCCAATCACCGGGTCTGATGAGTAATCTTTTAGCTTAGTTTAGCAAAAATAACTCAATCAGATTAGACCATTAGCATCTTGTTCAAAGTTTAGATCATTTTTCTATTTAAAGCTTGACATTTCTGTATTTACATCGTCCTCTAAGACCAAATACATAAAATTATTTTTTTTTTTTAAGTTTGTGCGAGATGCTAATGGTCTACTCTGATTCAATAATCTATGCTACGCTAAGCTAAAAGTGCTCCTGCCAAAACCAGATATTCGTGCTCTCTTTATTTAGTTTCATAAATTTACATAAAATAATTACAAGTAATTTACATATGCAGTGTCCCATTTTTCATACTTATACTACCCCCTAAAAGTATGTACTCTTTTGTGTAGGACATGCATATAATAATATAATACTACTTCCTCGCTATTGTTATGTTGCTTAGTTATGTCTCCTGTCAAACATCTCGACACATCATCCACATTTCTGTCATATTTATTTACCTACTATATTGGGGATTCAGCAGCAGCAGATTAATCTGTCATTTGTGATACTTTCATGCATAGAAATCTCATCAGGTCTTTGGATAAATAAGCTTTTACAAGTCATCTTCCAAATAAGTCATTAAACAAGTTCATATAGTTCTTGCAGTTGAAATATAACACGGAAAATGTTCATTCATTCATTCATTTTCTTGTCGGCTTAGTCCCTTTATTAATCTGGGGTCGCCATGGCGGAATGAACCGCCAACTTATCCAGCAAGTTTTTACGCAGCGGATGCCCTTCCAGCCGCAACCCATCTCTGGGAAACATCCACACATACACACACACACACTCATACACTACGGACAATTAAGCCTACCCAATTCACCTGTACCGCATGTTTTTAGACTGTGGGGGAAACCGGAGCACCCGGAGGAAACCCACGCGAACGCAGGGAGAACATGCAAACTCCACACAGAAACGCCAACTGAGCCGAGGATCGAATCAGCGACCCAGCGACCTTCTTGCTGTGAGGCGAACGTGCTTTGCGTCGCCCGCAGAAAATGTGATTTAAATATTTTCCGGTTAGTTAGATATTAATTAATAGTCATTTAAACAAATTTACCGAAGCCTCTTGACTTGACTTTGATCTCGTGTGTCCGCCGTGTTTGTAGTTTATTTACACGTTTTTCCATACTTTGTAGTTCTAATCAAATTCACATCCAACGCGCAATGTATTTTCGTTAGTATTAGCATTATGTATTAGCAGTTCGAGTACGGACTGTTCTGCACTTTGAATTTTTACTGGAAATAGCAAAATATCCGGAAACATTTAGCATACTCTTTTCAACAAACTATAGTTTGGGACACACTAATTCTATTTTCAAATACTATTTAGGATGGATAGTATATGAATTGGGCAATAGTTTGATTTAGTTTCTGTTATAATAGCATCTAAACTGCATTTTAAGAGTTCACACTTAGCTAATGATTGGTAATAAGCTAGTTTGGCATGCTGTCCCGGGAGAGAGCCCTGAGCTCATAAGATCCTCGAGCCCGGAGCTCCCTCCCGTTGCAGGGCGAGAGGGGAGTTTGAGCTTGGGTAGATCTCCGCAAGCACGGGGAGAACATGAACTCCACACAAAAATGCTGTCCGGTTGGGTGGATACCCGAGCCAGAGGCATTTTTTGCTGTGAGGCCGCAGTGCTAGCCACTGGGCCGTCGTGCTGCCCTGTTGAAAAGAGGAGGAGAAGGGGTGGAAGGGGGGATTCTTCAAGACAAAGATGACTAAAGGTAAGATATTTGGTTATTTATACTGGGTTAGGAATAGTCTGATTGGTGGTTCGTACATTAGCTTGACTCTGGGCCAGCCGTGTCAATCATAAGCACGTGATCCTCTCGAAATTAGTTTATGAATAAACTTCACTTTGTCAAAAAGTATGTCAAATAGTTGATTTCTAAAACTCAAAATAAATCAGACTTTTAATATTCTGTTTTGACATGTATATCAAAAATTAAGGAACAGTCTAAGAAAAACATCTAAAAATATAAAAATAACAGAGGGATTTTGGATTTCAAGCTAAAGAGTTCAATATTTTTCAAAGCTAAATTTAGACCAAATAAACACTGTTACTTGTATATGATATAAATGTAATATTTTGTAATGTATGTTTCATCTCCAGTTGTCACACACCTCTCTGAGAGCCACCAGCTCTTTATCCCGCTGTTCTAGCAGGTTCTCCAGGTGGTGCGCATGCATCTCTGCATCTGCCAGGCGTCGTGTTCGCTCATGATCTTCTTCACTGGCTTTAGCTGACGGGCCCTTGCTGTGCAACATCTCCAGGAGCTTTTTGACAGAGTCATCGCGAGCAACGAGCGTCTGCCGCTGGGCCTCCATGCGCAGCTCCATCTCCTCCAGCGTACGGCGGAGCAAGAAGAGCTCTCGAGCCTGACGTTCCTGCTCCTCACTGGGTTCGCAGGCCAGAGGCTCCCCGGGCGGCTGGAGAAGCTGGTTCAAGTCACGCTGGATACGCAGCTCGGCCTGCAGCGCCTGCACTGTTGTCTGCAGATGCTGTAAGAGGTATGAAAGATATGCAAATTATTAAGATTTAACAGCATAGTTCCAGCCCAGGCTTATTAGAAATATGTTTCAATGCACATTTCAGATGACAAATCCACTAGAAGGCGCTATATAAATTTTTGTAAATCTGAAATATGTTACTTAGACTACTTTTTATTGTGTTTCAGATACACGTCCTTATTGTACACATCTACAAGAAGAGAGATCTTTATACAGATTAAATCACGTCAGTGTTTTGTGGTATTTGTTTGGTGTTGTGCAAAGAACTGCACAAAATATTCTTTTATTCGTCGATTATAAGTTTCGGTAAATATCATTAGTGTAAAAAGAAGCAAAAGTTGTTGGTGTCATATTTCCCCATGGTGTTCTTACCAAAAACTGCAATCAAACATGTTTAAGTATGTCTTTGTGGTTTTGCAAAAATGTAGGGCTCTATTTGAATGGTCTAGGCACAAAGTCTAAAGGGCATGGCGCAAAAGCATTAGGGGCCCTATCATACACCCGGCGCAGTGTGGCGCAAGGCGTGACGCAGTAGTCTTTTGGTAGTTTAAGCTTGGCGCAAGAGTCGTTTTGAGGCGTTGCGCTACTCTGTTTAAATAGCAAATGCATTAGCGTTCATTTTTGCGCCCATAGGCGTTCTGGTCTAAAAAGGAAGGCATTCTGAGGCGGACCGCTGGCGCATCGCTATTTTGAGAATCTATAATAGATTTTTCATTAGACCAAAACTAACCCGGTCTAAACTCCAGCGCAGAGTTGCGCCTCGCTTACGCACTGCTTAATACGCACAAGAGAGCAATAGGCAAAATATCTTTACATATGAAAAAATTTAAATATTAAGGATATATATAGTATATAATAAGAATAGATATAGGATATAAATATAAAGGATTAAAATATAACAAAACATATTATTTTCTAGCCTACATAAATATGAAAAACCACTGCTTTTATGTCTTCTTCATCTCGGGAGGCTTTTTCAGTTCATTCATAACAATTTGCTTTTGTATAATGTTATTATTATTAGCAGTATTATTTATTATATCCATATTTATATTTGTTTTATTAAAAACAAGCTTAGATTTGCCCACCTGTCAGGTTTTAGACCATATGGGGCGCAGCATGTGTTTTAGGATATAACTCAGGTTTTTGAGCACATTTTGCTATTATTATTCATTTATTCGTTTGCTGGAAATTAGAACTGAATTTAGAAATAGTTTTGAAACGAATATTTGCGCTTAACAAACAAAAGTATTTATTTATAGACTAATTGATGTCTGTGCGTAAAGGTTTCCCTATCCAAGAGCGAAAGTGAAAGTGATCCATTATCTCTCATTCTCACTCAGTAGATGCTCTGTTTAACAGTTTTCTGTTAAAAAAAAACTGTTAACTGTTAACTCTTTGCTTGTGAAATGCTCATTTCTTTCCACTTAGACTTACTTTGCGTCCTGTAAATAGCGAATGCGCTCTTGGCACGATGCAGCTGACTCTTAAAGGGAATGGGAGATGAGTCTCTAATTGGTTTATTCTTAAAACACGCCTATAACTCATTAAGAAAATAAACTCAACCCTTTTAGACCATGCGCCGAAGCGCAAGGCAGATTTCCCGTCCTTAAATTAGCAAAAACGCGTCCTGACACGCCCTGAAAGCATTTGCCCCCTGCGTTTTGCGCTTTGCGCATGGACCGTCAAAATAGAGCCCTAAGGGTGTGTCTGAATCCACTTTTGCTATTTGAAAGATGGAAAAATATGCTTTGCACACTGGCACATGGTCTCAGAGGGTTGCTTATTCTCTTAATGAGTTATGGGTGTGTTTTGAGCATAACGTAAACCAATCAGAGTTTCATCTCCCATTCTCTTTAAGAGTCAGTTGCGTCGAGCCATGGCACATTTGCTATTTACATGGCGGACTTTGTAAGTGGAAAAACTGCACGCTTCACTGGCGAGAAAACAAGGATAAACAATGAACCTGCTCCATTCAGTTTCTTTACTTTCTCTTTACTTTACTTATACTCTTTACTCCTTTACTTTCGTTGATAAGGAATCGGTGTTGTACGCACTTCACTGAATACATCATTTAGGGGCCGATCACCCTAAATGCGCATTTATGTTCCAAAAACACGAGGCGCACCACACTGCATTTTTTGTTGACAAAAAAAAAAATAAGCGTGGTAGGATTTTTTACGTTTCGAGGCAACATTTGAATCAGCTGGTATTCTATGAGGGTGTTGCTGTTGATATAAATATAACTTTATTATTTAATAATATTGTGAAATTCAAGATTTGAAAAGTCATACAGCTCTGGATAACTCAAAACAGCAACCACAAGTATCTCCTCCATCTTCAAAAGTCTCCATAGTCGTCTTGACAACACAAACACTGCAGGCACCTCAGCGGAAACCCCACCTCTACTTTCATTTGAGTGGAGAATGAAAAACACGCAAGTGACGTATCATGCTTTTTTCCACTTAGAGTTGACTTTTTTCAACTGCCAGCGCACAGCGCAAGGGTCAAAACCCGATGCACGCAAGATTGCATGAGCAGCATGCAAAATGCTTGCTGCTGTTAGTAAATCATTCAAAAAAGGCGCCTCTCAGCGCAAAAAAGCACATTCAGTGTGATCGGCCCCTTAGCCTACATAGTTAATTTTGTTTAAGTGCAAAGATTTGTTACAAAACTATTTTTAAATTCAGTTCTAATTTCCAGCAAATTAATAAATAAACAATAATAATGAAGTGTGGTCAAAAAACTGAGTTATATCCAAACACACGTCCTATTCTTATGCCCCATATGGTGATGCAAGCGTCTCCAAAACATGACAGGTGGACAAATCTAAACTTGTTTTTATTAAAACAAATGGAAATATGCAAGAAATAATTAATATTGTTAATAATAATATTATACAAATTCAAATTGTCATGAATAAACTGAAAAAAGCTCCCACACATGAAGAAGGCATGGAGGTGGTGGTTTTTTTATTGATGTAGTAAATAATAATTTTTATAATATTTTAATCCTTTATTTTTTTTCATATGTAAAGATATTTGTGCATTGCTGTACATCCTGTGTGTTTTAAGCGTTTGATCTTGCATAGGCACATAACTAATGTGCTCTGCGCTGGACTTTAGACCAGCTTTTACTTGGTCAACGACACAGTCAGTTTCAGTTTCCCAGAATAGCAACATGCCATCAATGGCAGTGGCTCAAATGGCTCAAATTTGCTATTTAAACAACGTGGCGCAAAACGTGAAAACTAGGGTTGCTCTGATCTGAAAATAGCATCAAATCGTGCCAAACACCTCTTGCGCATTATTGCGCTAGATGTATGATAGGGACTGTAGACTGGAGCATGTAATGTGAAAATTTAACAACCATCTACTCAATCTTAAGCGCTAACAACTAACTTTGTTTCTTTTTTCTGTTGGATACAAAATGATATTTTGGAGAATGTTCAAAATGTTCAAGATTCCTCAAGATGTCTACTTTAGTCTTCAATGTTAGAAAGAAGCTTGTTTTTCTTTAGATAAGTCAAGAGTGAGTAAATAATGTCCAAATTTCAGCGTTTTGGTGAACTATCATTTTAATTAAGAAAACTTCACAATGTGCGATATTAAGATTGAAAGTTTGTATATAAAATAGAGTTGGGTGATTCATCTAAAAGTAATCTAAATCAACATCTTTCATTTTTCCAGGTCAATCCTATTACTGATCACTGATTTATACTTCTGTGTCGAACGTACGGGCATGTTCCGGCGCAGCCTTCGCGCAGTTGCATACCCGCAAACCTCTCGAAAAATGTAACTACACGTCACACGTTTGCATAACATTGACAATGATTGGAAGCTGCGCCAGAGATGCCTTGAGATGGCAAATTTTTTACTACAATAAAATTATCATTTACATTTAAATATTTTTTTACAGATTCAAAAAATGCACTGTTTAAAATATTATTTACAAGATATACAATACAAGAGTTATTTTACTTATTTTTATTTTCTACTTTTGAAAATATTGAAAATAATTATTTATGTTTCCAAAAGTGCAAGTTATTTGTTTTCACTTTAATATAATAAAAAAAGTGACTGTTGGTTTTAGGCAAAGTGTGTTTTTCAGTTGCTCAGCGTTGATGTTCAGTAAATAATCATAAATAGTAAATAGTGTGTGTTTCCTTCAATTATTTTAAAATCAAGTAATGCACCCTTCGTTCAAAAATCTCTCACTTGTAATATGAGCAGATTTACTGTACAAAACCTGTCAATGAACTGTGAGGGCAAAAAAATAAACAAATAAAATAATAGCTCATTAATCGTAACAGGGGTAAAATGTTTAATTAATCAATATTTTGATTTTAGGCCAAATCGCCCAGCCCTAATATAAAATGTATACTATTCTATATATTTTCTGATGATGAGTAAATTATATCTTGCTCATTGTGTTTTTGTCCTACATTGTCAGGATTCAATCTGTCATGGATTAATATGGCACAAAAACAAAACACGACTATGTGGCGGTAAGTTCTTGTCTTACTGTATATATATATATATATTACAATTACAAAGTTTTTGGTGTCGGGCTATGCCAGGTTGGACTTACAACTTACCAATAGCCTCAGAGCTCAAGTAGCAAAGCTAAAAATCAGGCTGCGTTTTCACTGTCAAACCAATTTAAACAATTAGTTAAGGGCAGGTTTTAGTCTCTGCTTCCCTGTTTTCCCTTATTTACATCACTTTCAGTTAAAGCATCAGACTGAATAAATACAGCAAACAAGTATACCAGAGTATACAGAACTTATGACAGTGAAATATGAAAATTAACTTTTTCAACACAAAGCTATGTTGTTTTGGATTTTGTTTTACCCTTATAACAAAAAAAAACCATTCATTTCAAAACTGAATGTGTTTACTTGTGTCATCTTTAATATTTTAGTTTGATGATCTGAAACATTAAAGTGTGAAAAATAAGACGGGGGGAGGAGGGCAAATACTTTTTCACAC